GTGCTGGCGGCAGTGCGGACTCCAGAGAAGGAGCTGGCCTGGGCGGGGAGTGAGCGGGCTACGAGCAGCTGGCAGATGAGGGGACGCTGGCCAGGCCGCTCCTTCGCCTGCCCTGGGGGCCCCTGGTCCTGAGGTCGTGGGCCACCCCCTTCTCAGACTACTCACCCTGAGGGACCAGACGTGGGTGGGGGACTGGAGAGCTGAGCCCCGCTGTCATCCACCACCGCCTCAGGAGCACGACTGGCAGGCCTCCTCTTCCTGCAGTTCTGGCTCAGGGCTCAGGCCTTCATTCTCTGCATTCCTTCGTTGCTGATTGCTTGGTACAAATACTGTCATCACCCTCCGCCCCAGGGCAGGCCTCCCAGTGTCTGTGCCCTTGAAGAAAACAGCTCTTCTGGCAGTGGCCCTGCCTACCCTCTGGCCCAGGGGGGCTCCCCTGCCTTCTGGGTTGGTTGGTGCCTCCCCATCTTCTGTTTTCTCTGAGATGTAGCCTGCATCTTCTGTGGCATTGGCAAGGGGACCATGTGCTGTGCCTGAGGAGCTGGCCCGCCCGAGGCAGGCGGGACCTGAGGTGCTCAACTCCCATTGTCCCTGCCAGGACCAGTCCCTACTGCTGGCCGTCACCGTCGTTGTTGGGGTCACAGTGCTGCTGTTTGCCCTGAGGAACATGAACTCCAGGAGGAAAGACCTCATCACCTTACAGGATCCCAACACCAAATACCTGCTGCCCTTGATTGAGAAAGAGGTAGCAGACAGCCCAACTTCTCCTGTGATGGGTAGAAGAGAGGGCAGGGTGGTGGGGAATGCTGGCTGGGAGGTGGGGTGGGTTGGCACTTATCTCATGGCCAAATGCAGTGCTTTCCCATGTGCCTGGGCCACCCAGCGAGGCTGCTAGATGCTGACAGAGCCTGCCTCAATTTTGTTTCACCAGCAAATAAACCACAACACCCGGAGATTCCGCTTTGGGCTGCCTTCCCCGGACCATGTCTTAGGGCTTCCTGTAGGTGAGTTGGGTTTGCTGTCACCTCTAGGGCTACATTTTATGGGGCCAGGCACTAGGCTCCTATCAGAAGCACAGGTTTCCAGTCTCCCAAGGTGTGAAGGGAGAGTGTACTCTTCCTGAACTGTGTGAGCCCAAGGGAGATGGACCCTTCCCTCATCATTCCATTTGGGCTGACACAAGAGTGGCAACTCAAGAGTATTGAAAAGAAGTGACACTAGACTCCGAAGGTTTAAGATCTTGCCTGAGGTTCCTTGCTGGGTGACCTTACCCAAGTCCTCAATCTCTCTGATCTTTATTCTATGCAATGGGGTTTCCCAGGCCTGCCTGCTTAGCTTAGGGGGGCTGTGTGAGGATAAAGTGATGAGTCAGGTGCCCCATGTGGATTCTCTGCAGGGACCTCAGACGCACACAAGAGGGGACTCTTTGTGGGCACCAGCCGAGTGGTTCTAGAGTTCTAGTCTTCATGAAGTGGGAAACCTCAGGGTCCAGGGAAAGTGTCCACGCTCCTTCCCTCCTGGTGGAAGAGCCAACCATGGCCCATTTGTCTTATCTGCACAGCACAGAACCCTGCCCTCCACTCTGTCAGCTGATGAAATCACACACAGAACACCCAGGGGCCCAGGCCTCCTTGCCACTCTCTTGCTCCTTCTCTGTCCTTGAGCACACAGTGTCCTGTCACCTTCCAGTCTCTGCCAGGCCTGCCACCAGTCCTTTTGGCCGGAAGCATGAAAGACTGAAAAACCTGGAGGAAAGAATTTCTTAGAAACCGCTTTGGCCCACACTCCCTCAGCCCTGGGTGAGGCTGTGCAAAGCTAGTAGAGTAGGACAAGGTGAGTTAGAGGCTTCTGGGCACATGTGGTAGGAGGACTCCGAGTTGCTGATGCTGATTGCTTGGTTAGAGATGAGGCCAGCAGGACCAGCGAGTCAACCCCATCTTGTGTGGGGACACCGCCAGGCCACTCCCTGTGTGGCTGCATTGGACAGAGCTTTCCGGGTTCCCTGCTCCACTTGAGGTCTCAGATGGCTGCTGCCGCAGATGTGTATCCTGTGTCCCTGGAGCTCAAGAGAGCCATGGCCAGGTGTTGAACCAGTGTTTAGGGCTTGGACCTCAGGCTTCAAGGCCTCCTCAAGGGCTCTTGCTTGTGCTTCCCTTGAGCACCTCAAACAAACTGCCTTCCTCCTTCAGTCTCTTCTTATCTCTGTCTCTCCCTATTTGCATATCCATAGTCCGCTGTCCAATTTCCTGGACATTCTAAGTTTCTACTTCCTCAGGAACAAGCAAATAGCCTGCTTTCGCCTCTAGCTCTTAGCATCTCTTCATGGCAACTGCTGCCCTCATTACTAATTTCCTTTGTTGCTGAATTCTCCACCTTAGATCCAACAGATACCTGAGCCACTAATCCTCTCGTCTTGACACTGGGCAATAGACACCATCCATAGGTGCTGGCCTTACCAAGTCTACTAATTCTACCCTGGAGGGGAAGAATTACAACTTCACTACTGCCCCTCAGTGAAGCCCACAGATCAGGAAGACACAACGCTACTGCTTTATTTAAGCCATGGGTGTCTGGATCCAGAGTCCCCATAGCCGAGTTCTGCTCTGTGCCAGGCAACAGCATATAAACAGGGCAGCTGTGACTCACTCGCAGACCTCCATTTAGGAATAAATGAGTTTGTGAAGAAATATATGTTTATTTAAAATGCAAACACTCCTGTTATCATTTTTAATAGGCACATTTCAACTTAATTAGCTCTTCTTTCCCTTTAGATTGTTTAACAGCATGACTACAGTTTTGTTTTGCAGGCATTTTCTTTTCTTTTCTCTTCTCTTCTTTTGTAGTGCTGGGTATTAAATCTGGGTCCTTCTGCATGCTAGGCAAGTGCTGTCACTGAGCTACATGCTCAGCCTTTCATCTTCATTTTAGAGATGAACAGACTGAAACCCAGGGAGGTGAAGTGGACTGCTCAGGGTAGCATCAAGGGCAGGTGTAGGAGTCAAGCATCTTGCATTGGAACTTTCTCTGCTTATACCTTGTTACATCCTGCCATTTTGCCCCTTCACTGAAGCTCAGTACTTTATGGGATTCCTGGGTCATACTTAGCTGGCCACATTCAGACTTAACATTTGATGCCCTTTCCATAGGGAATTATGTCCACCTTTTGGCCAGAATTAATGGTGACCTGGTGATCAGGGCCTACACACCTGTCTCCAGTGATGATGACCGAGGCTTTGTGGACTTAATTATAAAGGTAAACTGCCCAGCTGTCATGTACTCTGAAGTTTTTTCAGGTGGTGGGGTAGACGGCTGTGCTTTTGCTCTGTGGGGAGTGGTGCCACAGATGGGGCTTTCCAACGATGTCATTTAACAGCTGAGGTACAGGTAACCTTGGGGTGTCTTAGGAGAGTGCTGACAGCAGCCACAGAGGCAGCGAGCTTTCCCTGCTTGGCACACAGTGGCAAATGCCTCTGGTAGCTGTGTGCAGCTGTGGCCGTAAGACAGGACACATGAAAACTATCCTGCTTGATTTTTTTTAGATCTACTTCAAAAATGGAAACCCCAAGTATCCTGAAGGGGGGAAGATGACTCAGCACTTGGAGAACATGAAAATTGGTGACACCATCCTTTTTCGAGGGCCGACTGGGCACCTGTTCTACCAAGGGCCAGGTACGGGCGGGACCACACTAGTTCTCCAGCTGGGAGGAGGAAGATTCCTGCAGTGGCTTGATTGTCCTAGAACTCTGCTCAGACCCCACATGGCCTTGGTCCTTCAAGCCACCATACATTCATTTGTCCAGATTAACATATAACCACATCATCCTTTATTCCCCACACACCCACGTCGGAAGATCCTTAGCTTCATGTGGTGTGATCTCATCACTGTTTCTCTAGTACAGGATGTGCTAACCCTGAAAAATGGGGCATGGCTGGAGTCCGCACCGACTAGCTCGGTCACAGATTCATGATTTGCTCAATCATCTGCTGTGGGTGTGAGTGTTCTGGGAAGCTCCCTACGAGCTTCAGCTTGCCCCTCCTCAGAAGAGGAGGCCCAGGCTCTGGTCCTACTTTGTACCCCAGTGTGCTGGGGCCGACCGAGGAAGCCGCGGTGGCCTGCTTCTCCGCCTTAAAACGGGACAGCCATCTCTTAGGCGTACTTGTCTCCTAGAGGTCCCGAAGAATGTCAGGAATCTTTTGGAGGCTCACACACAAGAGCCACAGAAGTTAGAAACATCCTCTGTGCTTCTAGGGAGACTTGCAATCAAACCGCACAAAATGAGCCGGCCTGAAAACAAACTAGTCGACCACCTGGGAATGATCGCCGGAGGCACAGGTGCGAGGTTCCTGGGGGCTTTGCCCGGGACAGTGACCCCCCAAAACCATTCTGACTTTGCAGTTGCTTGGCTCTACAAGGTGTGGCTTGAGTTATTCTTCCCTTAGCCGTGGGTGAGAGGAAGGCAGCCCAAGTACCTACCTTGGGCCTGATGGTTCCCTGCTTCCCTTAGCCAGTGTGGCTGCCTGGGAGTCAGGCTGTGGGGTCAGGCCGGGTGCCTGGATTCAGTCCACGGGCTCTCCCTGTCCCCTGTGAGTGAAATATGGCCACAGATAGTAGCCTTGACAGATACACACAGGGTGCCATGCACCATCATAGGGGTTTTAAAACCCATCACATTTACTCAGCACTGATACTTTTTGCAAATGAGGACACTGAAGATCTAAGAATTCTCTTCCCATCTTGGGGAAATAAAATAGGGGTTCTGACTGATTGTTGCATTAGAAAGCAATCCCAAAACAAAGAACAATTCCCCACTTTGAGTTTGGAGGACAGCGTGAGGCGGTGTAACAAGGACCAAGGGAAACTTTAAGCGGCTACAGGTCAGGGACTGTGGTCTCAGAGATGGAGAAGGCCAGCCCATGCACTCCCTGTGTTCCAGGCATTACGCCTATGCTGCAGCTCATCCGCCACATCACCAAGAACCCAGGTGACAGGACCAGAATGTCCCTCCTGTTCGCCAACCAGGTCAGTTCTGCCGCGTCTGCTCTGGGCTTGCAGCCATGGCATGGAAAGTTCACTGAGCTGGGCTCTGAATTCATAGACCCCCCCCCACTGATGGAGCATGCGCTGTTTGGGGGCCAGGGCTGTGGGAAGGCAGAGCGGGCTCATCAGAGAGGAGCTGAGCCTGTCCTGTGTTCCTCCTGGGTTTTGTTTAACTCTTGTGTCCCCAGTCAACCCGAGTTCTTAGCTTTCTTTCATTAATATTTATTTCTCTGGGTTTTTTTATTTTTTAATTTATTTTTTGGTCTAAAAATCAAAGTTTCCCTCATAGAAATCTTGGGAAATACAAAATGATATTTCAGTTAGCAGTACCACACAGGATTTTCTTCTCATTAGTATGCTTTACATTCCTCGTAGCCTATGTTAAGTTGAACTATAGTTTATTAAATCTCCTACATTCATGTTCTCAGTTTTTAGTTATAAATGACAAATGATACCATGATGAGTAATTATGCCAAGGCCTGACTACTTTCAGATTAGTTTTGTAAATCCCAGAAGTGGAATTATTGGGGCAGGTGCCACGAAGAGCTTTCTGTGTGCTCTCCCTGAGCCCATGACAGTGGCTCTGGCTCCCTTTTCCCAGGTGAGGCTCCAGACTGTCTTCCCATACGAGCTCCCCAGTGCTATTCTCCCTATGACTCTTTAGCCCCTTCTTCCTTGCAGAAGACCCTCCTGAGCTTGTTCCAGGTGGGTGTGCCTCACCTCTGCCTAGTGTGGATTCAGGGATGTCCCCAGGGCCAGCTTTCCTGCTGGAGGGCAGTCACTTCCCTCTGGGGATCCTCACTCTCCCAGCTGCTCACGGATGTGAGTCAGAGAGACAGGCTTTGGTCTGCAGGTGCAGCACAGAACCCTTATTTGCCCCAGGAATCTGCGAAGGGCACTCCAGCCAGGGTGGTACAGTGTAGGCAGGAGCGGTGTGGGATAGGCACACTGCCTCTGCATGGGGCTTTTCTAACGCTCCTTTTCTAGACTGAGGAGGACATCTTGATGAGAAAGGAGCTTGAAGACATTGCCAGGACTCACCTAGACCAGCTCAGCGTATGGTACACCCTGGACAGGCCTCCCCTCGGTATTCCCCCTTTTCCCTCACTCTCTGGGTCAGCTCCTACCGCTGCTCTTCTTCCGGGTTGGGCTCTGTTCATTTGACCTTTTTAAAAAGGGTTTAGGCCTCGTGTTCTGGGTCCATATGGGAAAGTCAAGACTTGGAGGGAGGATTTCGGTGACCTGCTTGTAAGGGGGGTAATCAAGGGCAGGTGCCCGATATCTTAGTAACGCTCCACACACTGTGCTGAATAACAAGAGGGACACCGAGCCATTGGGCTACCTGAATGCCTGTACCCCTACAGCCATCGCACACACTGCATCCCATGTGGCCACTGGTCCCTTCACCTCTCACACCACTGCTAATAGCCACAGCACCCCTCAGCACCCACCTACGTCTTCTGGACAGCAGTCCCCACATGCTGACCCCCAACCACCAGAATGTGCTCTGCACCCAGTTGCACCTCATCATACACGACATTGACCAGCAGAGGGCGCGCAACTCCACCAACACCATAGTGGTTTAAGGCCCTAATTTACACTAGCCCTGGTGCAGCCCACAGGGGAGTTCTCCACCCTCCTCAATGCTTTGAGCGAGTAAACACCAGCACGGGCCTGTGAGTCCCCGCAGGGAGCCTGAAATCTGGGGTAAATACTGCCAGAGGACTGTCTGAGGCTCCCACACTCTCTTCTCAGGGCTTCACAGGAAACAGCAGTACAGACTTCTAGACCTGGGTAGGACAGCCTTGCCTCTCTGCTCCTCACTTCGGGGTCAGGGACTTAACTCAGAACTTCACAGTTACTTCCTGTTCTACTTCATTTCAGGCTGGAATTACAGCTCGGGCTTTGTTACTGCCGACATGATCAAGAAGCACCTCCCACCCCCCGGGAAGGCCACACTCATCCTGGTGTGTGGCCCCCCACCCCTGATCCAGACAGCTGCTCACCCCAGCCTGAAGAAGCTGGGTTACACCAAGGACATGATTTTCACCTACTAACGACTCCCATGTTCTTTGCAAGTGTCCCGGGTCCCTATCCTCTGTTTCAGTGTGAGTTTGGCTTCACTAGGTTTAACTGGGATGTTTGCAAAAGTGTCTCCTATGCCCCATGGGCGTGCACACCCAGGCACCTCTCTTTTGGGTGTGGGCCAAAGAAGAAGGGTACCAGTCACCAGACAGAGTGGCTTCTGAGGCCCCATGGCTTGAAGGCTGAGAACAGATCCACTATCATACTTGTCTCCACTGTTCAGCGAAATAAACTTATCTTCTCAGTAGACAGCCCAGGACGTGTGGCTCTGTGGGCCCCTGCTGGAAGTGCCAGTGCAGAATCCAAGCGGGATCCCATCAACTGCCACTAATCTTTCTCAAACCCCTCTCCAGAGCTATGAGAGTCCTCAGTCACCCTGCATATGCACTGTTTCTTCCTTTGTGGAACCCCTTGAAACAGAAATGGGTAAGTGGCTTGGGGGCTCCTTCCAGACTTCCTGTGAGTCTGGAGATGGAAGGGTGGCATGCTTTTTACCAGCATCCTCCTGGCTCCACCCTGGCATTAGGCTAGGTTAGGAGTAGTCATTTAGAAGCTTTTCAATTTGACACATGGCTCTGCTTTAATTCCTATCAATAAACCTAAATGATTCAAGGGGCCACTGTCCCATCCTCAGGGCCAGGACGACACATTGCTGCGCTGTTGCCTGAGTGGACAGGGCCATTTCTGTGGGATTTCATATAATTCTCAGAAAGAACAGAGATCCTGTGATCTTTTGTTTTGGTTTTTGTACAGGGAATTAAAATCAGGGCCTTTCACTGTGCCACTAAGCTATATCCTCTACCTGTGAGGATTATTTCCATGTTACAGATGAGGAAACAAAACTCAGAGATTTAAGTGCTCTGAAGTTATTCCAGCACTAGGTGGCAGAGCTGGGATTAAATTCCCAAAACTGGCATAACAGCAGCAGTGTTAGAACTTGGTTCCACTGTGCATGTGTGTGTGTGCGTGTGTGTCTGTGTCAGTGTGACGGAGAGTGGGAGGGGACAAAAGGGGCAGAGGAGAGAGGCATGTAGCTCTGCGGTGCTCTGCAGCATAGCCGTGTCTTGATATCTTTGATCAGCTTTTTCCTTCTGTGAACCTCCCACTGTGACCTCATTCTCTAGCCCAGGGGTTTTCAAAGGGGGGCAGATTTGCCCCTCAGGGAGTATTTGACAAAGTCTGGGGTCATTTCAGTTGTCACAACTAGAGGAGGGTAGAGGTCAACAACGCTGGTCAGCAGGACCCTGATCAAGAAGCAATTTGAGGGTCAGGATTTGGGCCTATTCGGATCTGTACAGGCTACAGTCTACAGCAGCTGCTCTGTGAGTCTGTGATGAGGGAGGATGTATTGTAGGACAACGTGCAAATTTAACTTCAAGGCTTATTGTGCAGCATTCAGAATCCAGGGGGAACTGTACAGTGGGGCAGAGTTGAACTCCAGTTAGAACAGGAGTGAAGACTTCCTGAGAGATGTGGAAGAGGTAGTGTCTGTGCTGGACCTTAACAGGCAGGATTTGGCCTCCTGGAGGGGACGGGGGAAAAATGATGTTCCTGGGAGGGAAGGGCCAGAGTTAAGGCCTAAGAGGGAACTAAGGCCAAACACTGGGCTCCAAAAGGGCCGAGGACAGTGAGGGGCCTGGATGCTCATCTGTGGAAATTCTGTAACTGAGTTCTGGGCAGAATGGTACCAGGAGTGATGGAATTTAAACTGCTTTGGGAAGGTTGCTCTGGGAACAGGGAGAAGGGAGGGGCCAGTTAGGAAGGTGAGGGACCAAGTAAGAGACCAGCTTCAGCAATCAGATGAGAGAGAAAGCTGAAACTAGAGTAGCCATGCAGTGGGAGGGAAAGGGCACACTGGGGCCTCAGTGGTGCCTCTCTCTGAGGTGGGAGACAGCAGAAAGGGAGTAAGGTTCTAAGGGAAGATGGCAAGTTTCGGTGGAAACATGTTGCGTTTGGTTCCTGAGGGCCTTCCACTAGGGGGCGCTGTGTGACCAGCCATGACCCTTGAGGCTGCAGAAGGAGAAGGTGTGAGCGTTGTTGATTCTGCTCAGAGACTGCGGACTCAGCAGGCACCTGAGCAGGCCTCAGCAGGGTAGGTGGAGGACAGTCAGGGCGGCAGGGGAGGACTCCCATTGTTCTCACCCTAAATCCCCTCACCTCAAATACACGTTCCCGTGAAGATGTCTCTGAGAGAGTTCCCGGTTATCATTTCACCCAACTGTGTCACTACAGAACATTCAGAACAGTTTCATAATATTTTTTTCCAGCAGAGGTTTTATGAACTGTCAGCTCTTCCCTTTGGTGTAAGAGCCGGTATCTCACTGCCTTCCCCACAAAGGCAGTCTGCAGTCCTTGTATAAAAGTATAAAAGGCAGAAAGCTGCAGGGAAGAGCACAGCATGGCTAAAGACACCTAGGGCCACCAGGCCACCTCCTAGACACCCGTGCCACTGCTCCGCTTGGATCCAGTCAGCACCCAGGTCTGAGATGCCCCTGCCAGCGCCATCTGCAGTCTGGGCTCTGCGATGGCTGTGTGCCAGGTCCCCTTTGAGACAAAGACAGGGCGGGCCCCACACGTGCCTCTCTGGGCTCTCAGCCACAAAGAATGTCATCTCCAGTCATCAGATTCGGGGGCAGTCAGGCAAGAGTCGTTCAGCAGCTGGTCCTGGCTCAGCAGGGTCTGAAAGGACACAGCCAAAGGGGCAGTTTGACAGAGTTTGGGTCCGGCTTCCCCCAAAGCCACAGAGGAAGCAGGGGCCACCAGGTGTGATCTGCGTCTGACACTGGTGCCCTATAGGTTCGTGGCATTCCAGGACCCGGTTATTAGGTCAGAATAAATAGCACTATTAAGATAAACATAAACTGCTCATCCTAGAGGCAAGCTTACTCTTTTAAAAAGACACCAAAGGCCTCTTAGATCATAGGGAGGGCAAGGTTGGGCAGAGACCTTCCAGTGTGTGGGCCAAGAAAAGGACAGTTGCATTAATGTGATCCTGCTTAGATTTGCGGAAACTCTGATGCTCATTCAGTCTTCTAAATACCTCTTGAAAGATCCATGAAGCAAAGCACAGTGACTGGGCCTCAGTACAGAGAGACACTGCAGCTACGTGGTTGGGGGAATAGAACTAAAGGGCCCTGGAATGTATGAAGCCTCAGGATGAATCTGCTCTGTGGCTGGCCTTTGCTGCCAGCTCTGATCTATGAGCCATGCAAGGGGGCGGGGTATTCATCCTGCTTTACAGATAACAAAGCCAAGGCTTAGAGAGGGAATGACACACCCAGGGTGCCTGAACCAGTAAAAGTAGAGCAAAAACTTGAACCAGGTCTGCCACTCTCCAAAGCTTTCTTCTCCTAAGACCAGGCAGCCTCCTATGGTCTGGTTTGTTCTCTTGGATATGGCAGGATATGGCCAGATTGCCTGTGGTGTCTGTGATGTCAGAGGCATGGTATGGGAAATGCAGGAGTCTCGTGGGCAGAGAGGACAGGATAGAGACAAAGATTAGACTTTCATCTATGTAGAGCCTCTCAGCTCAGACTGAGAAAAGGACCTGAGACCTAGGATGCTCTAGCTGGTTTCAACTTAAGGCCTATGATGCAGCAATAGACCAATGGACAGGGTCCTCTGGCTGCTTTCTGCCTCTGAGTTGGATTCAGACTCTGAAGCCAGTGCCCAGCACTTTCTCCCAGCCTTGACCACCACTGCACCCAGCCTTCTGGGCCTCCCTGGCACTTTACTGTGAGGAGAGGGTCAGAGTCCTACCGTAAGACGGTGAATATCTTGGGAGAGGAGCCCTATCTGTGTCACAGTGCCTTCCGAAGGTGTCATCTGTAAAATGGGCAGCAGCCTCGTCAGCACAGATGGGTACAGCTTGAGATTTGCAGACAGCATGCAAATCCTATCCCACTCAGGTCTGGCTTCTCCAGGGCATGCTTCCCTGGAGGGATGGGCAGGGGATGTGCCAGGCCTGAGGGGTGACAGGTGGTGAGGCACATGCTGCTTCTGTCCCTGAGGAAAGTCCCACAGTACATGCACAAGGTCTCCTGAGGCCCTGCTTGGTAGCATCGACATTCAGGGTATAAAATGCAGGGCAGAGGAAGAGCCGGTCAAAAGCTGCCCTTCTGTGTGTGCTTAGTGTTCAAGCTGCTTTCCAGGAGCAGCAGGCAGCAGGGAAGGGAGGCTTTCAGGATGATGGACAGAGTCACAATTCCCAGGCACCAGTGCCCCAGTATGGCAAGGCACCTGGAGAAGCTGCTGATAAGAGCTGGGCTTCCTCACTACTCAAGAGCAAGAGCCCGCTTCCCTGCCCTCCTCCACCAGTAATACCAGTCTCAGTATTTAGATGCTGTGGATTTGGGAGGTGTCCTTGTTTTACAGGTGGGAAAACAGACCCATTAAAAGGAATCGGACTTGCATGAAGATGCCCAGAGAATTAGTGGCAAAACAATTCCATGCAGGGTTGTCAAAAAGGCACATGCAGAGTCTCTCACCAGGACATAAGAAGCACCCACTAAAGCCTGGCCTGACTGGCTATCCAACTGCAATGGCCAGTTATCAGCCTTGAGAAGCACTGTGTTCTGTGGCGCTGGGTACCAAGACCAAACAGTGCTGCTGGCTGGTGAGCTGGGTCCACATCTCTCACCAGCTGGACTTCAGGGGAAGGGGAAGCCAGAGGGAATAGGCCATGCCTCAGGCTGCTGATAGTTAAACAAATCTCAGTATCACTTCCTCTGGGACAGAATCAGAGGGCCTCAGCAAGGTCTCTGGTCTTGCCCGGCTGTCAGATGGTTAGAACATTGCTGTTATTCTTCTGCAGATGAGGCCCATGGGACCCCATCCAGCCAAACACTGCCCTGGGGTGACCTGGAATGGCTGGCAAAGAGTGTCTCTCTCAGTCTCCAGCCAGACAGGGCCCATCTGGAGGGCCCATTATCAGCTAGTCAGCCTCTAAATGAAGAGGCCAGATCTTTTAAAACATTTTTAAAGAAGCCAGATCTGTTCCAACCCTGCCAGCACAGAAGGTGCAGCCGCTCAACAGTTACCAGAAGCTGGCAAAATATATGAAGGAACAGAGTCTTGCCAGCATGACTGCCCTGCGCCCCTCGAGGGGGCTCATGCAGCGGAGATGGAATTTGGGATATGCGTGACTGATGTGGCCTAGTCAGTGAGACCCAAGGTTCCCTTCTGCTTCACAGCCGGAGGTGGGGCCTGAGGCAGCAAGGCTTCTGGCTTCCTCTCAGGGATATGAAGAGGGGAGCGGGAACCTCCTTGCCCACCCTGCTCAGTGAATTCTGAGTGTGCACCTGGCCGAGGACTGGGCTCGCTCTCCCAAGTGCCTAACCTGCCGTCAGCAGGACTCCATCTCCACCGGTGCCCAGCTCTGTCCCCAACAAAATGAAAGCTAGGTTACACTGCTTGCTGTCTACATAAATATTGTTTTTATTACCAGAAAGAAGTGACCATCTCTGTAGTAAGGCACAACCCAATGACACTGTCACAGTGGCAGAAATCCCTGCTGCTTGTCTCTCTTCTCAGCTAAGATTCTGTGGCCCTTAGGCCTAAGGCACTTGAACTTTTCCCTCAGCTGGAGCCCAGGGGAGGTAACTGAGAGCCGTGCCTCTTGGGCTTGTCCAGAGTTCCTGGACCTGTGTCCAAGTTTGCGTGCTGCAGATGGACATTAAGAATTACTAAAAATGAAAAAGGCAACTTTAAGTGCCTTTCCTGTTAGTTCCACCTTTGACAATAGTCCCCAAGGCCTCTTTGCAGAGGTCTAGCTCTGCATCCTGGCTGCCTGCAGGGTGTGAAGAGACTGGCCCAAGGGCACACAACTGTGGCACTGTTCTCTGTGAGCCATGCACAAGTGCAGGGGAGGAGGTGCAGTTATAAGGTGACACACACGGCGTTACTGGGAGCTCTCAGGTACACAGAGAAGGCAGGTGGCAAGGGCATCAGCTAATCTGTCCCACCTGGTCCAGCCCATCCAGTTCAGGGGTGTCAAGGGGACCGAAGCACCGGTAGCCACTGTAGATCCTTTGACTGTCACTGACGGCATCACTGGGTTCCATGGGGCAAATGTAGTCTGTTGATTCATCAAATTTCTTTTTTCGCATGTTTCCAAAATGTGAAAATCCTAGTTTCCTAGGCTAAAACACAAAATACAAGATTATGGGAAGGTGATGAGCAAGCCAGTGTCCATATACAACTGACCACATATTCAAGAGCAGGCTCAGAAGGAAAGGAATAAGGCAAACTACTTCTAGAAAACTGAACCAAGCAGAGTGCTTGGAGGCAGTTTCCATGCTGAGAAAAGGCTGCCTGATGAATAATCTTCAACAGGAAGAGCTGCTCCTGAGACTGCCTGAAACTCCCATCCGGCTGCCTTGCCAGCAATTTTCTGTTTCTCCGATGGGCAGGGGATCCTAATGCACGCCACAGACTGCACTTGAGGCTGAGCACAGAGGGTTTGCTTCAGCCCAGCTCCTGACACCTAGGGAGCAGCACCCAGGGCCCCAAGAGCCACACTGGGTAGCCTGGGGTGGTCTTCCTCCTTGCCCGAGCTGCTTCTCCTAGGTGCCCCCAAACACACCTGCTGTCCTGCTCCCTCAGGGAAGGAGGTCTGTGTGTGAGTCATCGCTGGGCCTGAGGCTCCAGGCTGGCTCCCTGGGGATGGGGCCAGCCTGGAATCCAGAGTGTGACTGCAGTCTGGGGTGGACGCGGTCTGGGGATAGTGTTTCTCGGGCAGATCTTTACGGGACTCAGGGAGCCTAGGGGGTGGTGCTGGTGCACTGATGAACTCAGGATCCTGGGACAGCTGCTCGCCGGCCACCTCACAGAACAAGACAAGCAGGCGCACCTGCCAAGTGGTATACACTCTGGCTGGCAGGACAGCTGTGACCAAGGCCCATGGTACCGTGGCATGCAGATGGGCCCGGACAAAGGAAAACCAGCTCCAGAACTTATCTATTTTGCCAGATGAGCAATGACAGCACTGGGTAGTGGACAAACTTCCAGCTGCCCAAGAACAGATACTTCCTGCACATAGTTTCTGTGTGTACAACCTGCACTCTGTTCCTTGACTCACGATAAACTGGAAAACGGCCTATCAAGGACGAATAACCACGGGGCCAGACTCCCACAATGAAGCTGACATGCCCCCTCTTCCACACTGCACACACTGGTTTGGCTCCAGACACTGAAGCAGCAGCTGTGTGACACAAGGGCCAGCAGGCAGCACCTCTGGACCACGCAGCAAGGGTCCGAAAACTTACCCGAACTTTGGCTGTGGTGGTCAATGGTGTGTAAGCTGGGGAGGCCATTTTATCTCGCTTTTCCTGCTCAGCCTCAGGACCAATTAGGGCGTTGAATTTGGTGGTGAGGTGGCGCCGGAGAAGCGTCTTCTGTGGTGGGATGTTGAGGAGCATAGCCAAGGTGTCCCCAGTGAAACGTGGCTCCAGGATCTAAGAAGAAACCACGGACAAACCTAGCCAGTGGTAACCACAGATGGCAGTAGGTGGGTGACAATGAGAAATGAACTTCTGGGGCCTGAGTAGCTCCAGAGCAAGGGCTGAAGCTCTATCATTTGTTCTATATCCCACTCCCCTATCCTTCCCAGGCACAAGGTCTGGCTCTGAGGAGACATTAGCTTATTTGCTGACTGCCACTTCATCTTCACAGACCAGCACAAAACCAAGCCTCTTTGATAAGGCTAGATGACATCTAATCCACCACCTCCATATTTCCTGTCTGGCTCTGCCACTTGACGGATCTGAGTGGTGATAAGGATCATACCCACGGCAAGCAAGAAATTACACGTGATGGCCGCCCCTTCACTTCCCTAGTCCCCTTGTTCCTCTAGGAACAAATAGAGCTGCCTCATTCAGGGTTGGTTGTCATGAAACCTACCATGTCCTAGAAATCTCTGGGTCTGATACTGGGGAAATCCTTCCCGAGGCCATCTTGTTTTCATGAGGTATAATTCTCAGCCACAAAATATCAAAACATTTTCTCTGAGACTTCAAACTATGTAAGAAACTCAGGTGAGAAATCTTATTTTTTTACTAGAATTTATATCTGGTCTTAGGAAATTAGTTTCTGAACACCTCAATGTGTACCAAGGCAGGTAGCCTAGTCCAGAAAATCACTCACAATAAGACCACCATGGACACCACTCCCTCGAAGGTTGGGTGCGTATTCTGCCAGGTCCACAGATCGCAACCATTCCATCACCCTGTGGTTGGACCACTGCACAACTTCTGAAGGAGAAAGGTTACTCTATGAGAGAGAAGAAGAATGGCAAAGTTAGACTTCATTGGCCCCACCACATCCTCTGTGAAGTCAGCACCTATGACTAACCCTACCCAGATTCCTCACTAGAAGAGAAGACCTTTATGCCTCGTGACTCAAGCTATCTAGACCACCTGCCTGAGAGCCTTCCCAGTCCCAAGAAATAGGACTCTCACCAAATCTTGCAGGATGTTTGGCACAGAGATATCTGAGTCCATAGTCTTGTTACTATAATTTTCAGGCTAAATTGGGGCAAGTAAATGAAGACATATAGGTTTTTAGTCATAGATTTTGTTTGTTTGTTTGTCTGTTTTTTGAGACAGGGTCTCACTATGTAGTTGAGACTGACCTGGAACTCACTATGTAGCCCAGGCTGCTGGTCTCGAACTCACAGCAATCCTCCTGCCTCAGCCTCCCAAGTGCTGGGATTACATTTATTCAATAGAATTTTGAGTTATGAGCCAAATATTTTATGGAACAAAATCTCCCTGGTGTGGCCGAACATTTTAGTGGAGCACAAATGAAGATACTTATGTGTAAGTGCTCCCACATGGCATCATGGTCTTCAAAATGCTCAGTTTTTTGCCTGACATGAGAAAGGTATGCAAAATTGTTGAATAGCAAGAGACTAGGAGATGGAGAACAGAGGCAAGAGTTGTTTAATCCATCTGGAAGTGGAATTAGACAGAAGAGGTGGGCTGTGACTGACAACCCTTCAGTTTGGGACCCATCAAGAACTGCACAGTTCACGAACATTATCAGGAACTTCCCCTGGCTTTGTGTTGCTGTGTGCCTGCACAATTTCTCCTCTAGCAAGACTTGCTCAGGAATCCTGTGTCTCTGTGTCTGGAAGTTTGTTAATTTTGTACCTACAAGTAAGGAGACCCGTTCTGAAATGTCTAGTTCCTCATGGGCTCCTTGTTCCACCTTTGGCTCTTCTCTGCCTACTCTGACACCATCTTTCCATTCTGTCTTTCCCTTCTTCTCTCCTTTGTACCATCTTCTCATCTCCTATGATGACTTTGAAAAGATTTGTTTCCACTGCCCATACTACTTGTTTCCCTTAAGGGAAGGGAGAGATTAGAAGTTCAGTGGTTACCATGGACCAAAAGTTCAGGCAACAGGGCTGTTTCGGCTACCAGAATCCCAAGAACCATAATCTGAAATGCAGCTATTGGTGATGATGTCATTCTGACATTCTCATAAGCAATGTTTCAGGTGTCCTGGCTTGGGGCACCTGCATAGCTGCTCTCCTGCTCTTACCTCATCAGCTGGCCGCCGATGCAGGCAGTGGGGATTGAATTTGTTGACATGCAGCACGTGAATGGCACATTTGATGCTGAGATGATGTAGTTGGCTGGTGACTTTTAAGAAAAGTAGATCATTCTGGAAGAGAAAAGTTTTGGCTGATGGATCAGAGCTTCCAAAGTGACAAAAGACCCCAGAGGTTCTTCCCTGGCCAAACAGATAAATCTTTTGCATGTCAGAAAGGTGCAGACAGACATACCAACAGATTCTTTTATCACAATGCTTCATACTTCACTATTTGGGACCTCTTATTTCAAGGCTTTAAGAATTTGAAGTAGGAGGTGGAACCACGTTTAAAATAACCACCACAGGCACATCTGAGCTGAACACTCACAGCAGTAACTGACATTTAAAGGGAAAATCCTCACCACAGTTAGGTATTGCAGCATTCGTCCATCAACTCTAGATTCATGAAATTGGTCTTTGTATTGGGGTAAGCCAATATCATCAAGCCACCCTACAAATACAGAAAGAATAGAGGTATTGGGATTCATGAGGATAGTAGGATGTGGATGTCAAGAAAATCCCCCCAGCAAATTATGATTTTGGGTTCCAGTTTTATTCCCCAAAAGGGAATAAAATAGGGTTTAGTAATCCATCTGCCTTTCACAAGTAGACATCTGTCTTTAAGGCACATATTCAACAGGGAAATTCTTTCCACCTTTAGGAACTGCCAGAAACATATTTAATCCATATTTGCCTGTCCTTACTTGTCACCCAAATATGGTCTAGCAGTGCAGACTTCTCTTCCTGCTTGGTGTTGATGGCTTTTACTGCTAAAACCAGCTTCTTCCTGTGGAGAGGGTGCTTAATTCCTAGCTCCTGAAATTGAAAGATGAAGGCCAGATGTGAAATTTTGGCAGGCAGTTTGGTCTGTGGAGGATGTCATGTCAGGGTGGAGAGGCTCTGAGAGGGTGGAGTGGGATCTCTGCACAGTGCCTTGGGATGCCAACCTGCCACTACAAGGGGAATGTCTGCCTTCCGTCCTGCATAGGGTGGGGCTGGGGCGGGTTTCACCTCCCTGTATGCTGGTTCCACACATGGGTCTAGGAAGAAATGGGAGCCTCTTCATCCCATGCCTAGCCCTTACCTTTTCCATATCTTGAGGAGTAGCTGTCAGTAATGTGTGCCCGGATGTCACCCACTGCCTGGCAAAGATCACGTACTGAGCCAGGCCAAAGTCCTCAAGCCATGCACAGACGCGCTCTGTGTTCCACTGAGCAAAAGGGGCGTTGGCATCACTGGGAAGCAAGGAAATGGTATGCTCCTGTTAGTGGAGAGCCTGGGCTTCTGCATATAATAAAGCCTCCCAAAAAAGGAACTTTTAAGAAACCACCTAGACTATCACAGGATGTAGTTGACTGAAATTTCACAGCAACCCACTCAGGTGAAGCAGATGCTAGGCTCTCTGATAGCATGGTCTGAATTTCAATCCAGCTACTTGGAGCACAGGGCAGCCTGTATGATCCCCAGAACACTGCTTTCTTACCATGTGTCCACATATGCAAGCCCAGGAGGTGGACCACTAAGATGAACATCCACAATGAAATCATTCTGTCCACAAAACTCAGCACCGTTTTTAGGAAAATATTTAGAAAACTAGGAAAAGATGATCTGTTCTCTAACATGAAAAACAAAAACAAAACACAAAAACCCCAAAGCAAAAACCTTCTATTCAACAACAGGCAATGCCTATTTATTAACATAATACTAGGGATATGCGCATTAAAATCACAGGACAATATACATTTCATCAGTACATATTGATAACACTGATCTGAGAGCTGTGTACAGAAAAAGAAATGATAAAAATAAAAGTAAGAGGGCCAGGGATTTAGCTCAGTGGCACCACACCTGCCTCGAAAGTATAAGGTCCTGAGTTCAATCCCCAGTACCAAAAAATTGAAAAAATAAATAAAAGTAAGAAATACAGCTATTAGAAAAGTGGAAACGAAAACAATTTCATCCAGATGATATGACTGCCACCTAGAAAATCTAAAAAGGCTTAGTAACATGGCTAGTGATCAAATACACATACATACATATACGTACATTATGTATATAACATGTAAAAACCAACAGCTTTCCCTATAATATTCATACACAAATAGTAGTGCTTTCTATCCATAGCAACTGAATTACAGATTATCTGGGAATTGCCTTTACAAGGAATGTGTGGGCCCGGTGTGACTGTGTGGGGATGTGGGGTAGAGAGGGGTGATGTGGTAGCTACAAAACTTAACTGAGCAACCCACGACATGAAGAAAATGAAGATTAAATCATGTTTCTAGACAAGAAGGCCAGGTATTAAAAGCCATCCATTCTTAAAGACATCAATTTTTAATTTAAAGTGTGAATATAATGGCACTCTCAAAACCCCAACGAAGTCTTTGTGGAGATGGACAAAGCAACTTTATATGCATTTCTAAAAATACATGGGGACTTATGGAATGCAGAAGCTTAGGTATTCAAAAAGATGCTTTTCCAGAAAAATGCAGCAGTCTCTTGGCATCCACGAGGGATTGCTTCCAGAACCTCTGCTGATCACAAAACCGAAGATGTGCAAGTCCCTTAAACAAATGGAGTAATACTTAGCCTCCATAAATCCTCCCATATCCCATCATTTCTAGATTATGTATAATGCCCAACATAATACAAATACAATGTAAATATCTCAGGGAACAATGATAAGATATTTCCAACCTTGGATGAACCTGGAGATGTGGAACAGCCTGGATATAGAGGTTGAATGTATACAAAAGATGAAGAAACCTTTTCTTGAATGCCTGGATGAGCTATGGCTAAAGTGAGAGAATTCCTTAGAGGGCCAAAATGGCAAGACACACCATTCTAGAACAAAAGCAAGAGATGACATACCCCAGGGTAGAGGCTGACCATTTCTGGTCTATGTTTTAATGGGTCCTCAATAGGTACAGACCCGAGTTTTATAAGGACTGGAATTTATAACATGTAGGATATCCTCTTCAGAAAAGTATAAAATTTGGCCAGGCAAGGTGGTGCATGCCTATAATCCCAGCATTATGGAGGCTGAGGCAGGAGGACTGCAAACTCATCCCCGCTCTGGGCAATTTAATGACTACAAAAAAATCATGTCTCAGAATAAAACTTAGAAAAGTGCAAGGCTTTGGGTTCGATCCCCAGTATGACAAAAAAGGTGTAAAATCTGAACATAAAATTACTGAAAATTTAGAATGAGAAAACAAATAAAAAATTACAAATTTAACCAAAGGAAAAAAAAAAAAAGCACAAAATCCAGAAAAAATTAACATTTTCATTAATCCCTGTATATACCTCTACAGTTCTTTTTTACTCTAATTTTTTGAGTGCATATTCCTTGACTTCTTCATGTGTCCACAGTCTAATTGATTCAGTCTTTCTTCTAGGACAATGTCAATATTTGTTTTTTATCAGGAGAATTTTTAAACAAGTTTTGGTTTCACAATTTATAATTGGTATTGCCATGCACATTTTTAGAATCATTGATTAAAATTTAGGCAAATAAGTGCCTTTTACATGTGAGTGGTAAAACTATACAGCATTAAGTTTTCTGGTGTTGTGGCTAATCCTAAAGATTCTTTGAGTTGAGAGTATTCATGAACTAGAGTGGTGTCTCCATCTTTGCGGTGGTGGCATTATTTTTATGTTATCTTTGTTGATATCAGTATATCAGGGAAGTCAGCAAGAACTGGAGAACTTTGTGTTCATACAATCTGTATTATATGAATAACCTATTCACTAGTTCTGTTTGAAATTATCTCTTGAGCTTAGCTTCGCATGTGATCTGGCATTTTGTTTTCTTTTTTTTCTTCATAATTTGTTTCTTAATGTGAGAATACTTTTTTCAATGTCCATTTTTCTCAGTTTTATTTCACATTTGATTAGGTCTTTTTTTTTTTTTTGTACCAGGGATCGAACTCAGAACCTTACACTTGCGAGGCAGATGGTGGAACCACTAAACTAAATCCCCGGCCCCAATTAGGTCTTTTATTTCATTCAGTTTCTCATTTCTAGAAATTTTTGGGAAATTAATATATCAGCAAAGAATTTCAACTCTAAAGGGGGAAATAAAGTATTTTCAAGATGGTCATTTGAAACTCTCTGGGCTTTCAAACCAAACTGGAGTTCTGGTCCTCATCTCAGCAGTCTTCTCACTGAGTGCTTGGTGCACCCCCTCACCCGTGCCTCAGGCTTGTGTTATTCCCAGGGTACCAGACCTAGCACTTCCTCAGCTCTTCTCAGGGTCAGGAGCCTGCATACCCTCTGTGGGCCATGGCCAAATCACATGGTGATGATACAGGAAGCATCTTCTATGGACAGCCAAGCCACGTGTTTTACTGACACAGTCCTAAGCATCTTTCCAAATTACAATTAAAATGATGTAACTGCAGTTATCAGATACAATCGCTACTCCCATGGTAGAGGAGAGCACAGGGTACGTTTGTAGCTGCACACACTTTATCAGCAGGGACAGTCCCGACAGGGAAGTATTTCTGTTTTGACTGGGTATCCAACAGAAATGAATCTACTCCTTAGGATTTTGCAGATGTGAGGACTGAAAAGAATCCCCACAGATTAGCTGCTGATTTTGTACATCTCAAATATGGTTTTGTTCCCTACTGCCCTACACTTGGGCACATAGTGGCAGAGGACATATTCACAGTGGGACATTACCTCTGAGGTGCATCTCTGTGTCAGTGTGCTGGGCACCTTGGCAAATGAGAAGTGACTGCGGAAGCCATTTGCACCTAACTCAGTGAAATATGAAGTGAGTGAAAGTCATATACATATATTCTACTGAGCCCAAACTAATTAGATTCTCAGTCGAACTACCTGAGTCAGTTCCTCCTAAGCCTCCTAAGCTACTCCATCATCATCTGAGGTAAGGAAAATGTAGACTAAGGGAAAACTAGAGCAAAAGGGTCAGCAATCCTGAAATTGGCTGTGTTTAAATGATTTGTGAAAAATGTCCATATACTTGACATTGTCAACACATCGATCAGCAGCTCCTCCCTGGACACTGGAAGGGGACCTACAAGTAGTGGCCTAGAAGCTTCCTTACATTTTGATCAGTCTGGTTCTGTGATGAATCTGATTAATGTGTGTGGGGGAATAAAATGGGTTCTGAGGTGGGGAAGTGCTGTGATTAGAGACCCCCTCCGAAAACTACATTCCGCAGATCAACTCAGAAAATCCTCAGTGTGAGACCCAGAGTGAGGCTCCAGAATGTGTCTGCCTTAAATATGATGCCTCATTGGCTTTTTCTTGACACACACACTCTCTGAATTTGTATATTAAATCTAATTATTTAAACATGGTTTTTAAAAATTGTACAAATGTTAAAAACAAAATAATAAATCAAAGGAAAAGGTAATAAAGCTTACTATATATAAGTATAAAAATTCTACACATCAAAGGATGACAAACAAAAGGAAAATTTGGCTGCAGGCCTAAAAATGCCCCATCACAATGATTAAACACAATTTAATATCTTAACATATGGAGAGTAGACATAAGTCTATAAGAAAGACATTAATTAATCATTGGCAAAATACACAGACAAGTTGCAAAAAGAATTGAAATGATTATCATGCAAATTAGCAATACAAGTCTAATTTTTTGAAGTCTATAGAAGTAGAAAAATTTAAAAATTAAAAAAAATTAAATACTTAATGCTGACAAATATATATATGGGTAATGTCTCCCTGTATAGCAGAACTGATTGGAATGTAAATCAGCAGAACTTTATCTGGAGGGAAAGATAATAAGGATCACGCTTCCATAATCTGAGAGAGATTTGTACAGAATGCTATTGTTGAATATCATTTTTTTTGAATTATCAGATAAAAGGGGATTAGGCCTGGAGGCTTTCAAATAACAAATTGCTTTTCCTACCAGCATATTAGTGAAAACATTTTAAAAGGTTTTGCCTTAAACATCTACAAACTATAAACATCAGAAGGCATTAGCATATAATTATACCAGATTTCTGCCTGAGGGGAACAACAGCCTTCCTCTTCCACCAGCATATTCGTTTTGTTACCACAAGCATGGCATAAGCACTGCCATCACATCAAGACCTCTTCACTCTTACTCCCTTTATTAACCATTGTTGTGGTTAGAAAAACACAAAAACATTTCAGCAAAGCAGCCCTGTGCTAGAATTGCAGTTTTTTCCTTTGGCAGAGAACTTGCTGAGCTTGGTTATACTCATACTCTAACGCGACTTTCAGAAGGTAAGTGGGCTCTCTCACCATGCAGTCCTTCCTGTCAAAGGGTGCTCTTTCTCCCCAACCCAGGGATTTCCCTTCTACAGTCAATCCTTAAACTGCCATACCGGAACCAAGATCAATCGTTCAAGTTTACTGTAGCTTTATTTTTTTAATCTCAGAAACAACAGTGATGTCTAAATTAGGAAAATCTCTAGTAAATTAGAACATCTAATTATGGAATAGAATAGGTAGGCCTTAATTGGTCCTGAATTGGTCCCTGACTTCTCAGACCCTGTCCTCAGATTCCCTAGACTCCTGACATTTACTGAGAATTTACATATGTGGCTAAAAGCATCAACACCACCCTCTTGGGTCCTTCCTAAGTCCTGGGGAAATGCGCACAGCAGGTCTGTACATTCTCACATTTCTTTTAAAGGCCCTGGAGTATAAAATAGTAGTGGGGACACCCATCAAAGCACAGATGGATCTGGAAAAATCCTGTGTCTCAAACACCAGGAGGATTTGGCAAAGTCTCTTGAAACCCGAGGATGGCAGGCCAGGCAGGGAAGTATCTCATCCATGTGCAAAATAAAATAAGACTTCTTTTTACAGGGGATGCAGGTTTGTGAATGAGTAGGATGCATTTAGGGAAATATTCTTCTCCTTTAGTTGGAATCTAGACTGCACTATGTCTAAGAATTAATATTTGAGTTATACATGTCTTACTCAGTAGTTATGTATTTCACACTCGTGTCTGGCAATCTTGAGGACACTAAAACTTAAGAGAGCTTACTTTTCTCCTTTGGGCTAGATTTTAAAAGGGACAATGCAGTCCTGCAGGAGGTCCCCAGAAGTACTGACTTCAGCTCAGACTCAAGGAGAAGTTCTCGCGGATGTGATGTATGACAGGGACACTTGATATGAAGAGAGTTTCCTCTAAATGCAGGAGTAAGGATTCACCTCTGCAGGTTTGAAGGTAGCCATTCTTCCTCAGAGCAGGAAGAGCTAAAGAAAGTGGGTAAGGGTAGTAACTGGAGGAAGTCACTAGGGACACCTCTGGAAAAGCTTAATGTTTTCTCAATATATTCAGCAGGGCACAATGGAGACAGTCATGTGAAGCTCACCATTTTTATTCCAGTGCTATTCATGCCTCAGCAGCCTCCTTCAGTTACTAACTTTCAGTAAAGTTTGGTACGGTGAGATCATGAAGGACAATGATGGATCCAGCCTGCTCGACCTGCATCCTCTCCCAGAATGTGCAGAAGGGTGGGACTGGTCCACAGGCAGGTGAGAGATGAAGTTTTTTTGTTTGTTTGTTTCCCCACACAGACTAGAGGATGGTGACCCCAGAATGGCAAACAGCTAATTCTTGGGTTAGGTGAGCAATAGCTCATGTAATCCTCATAAGAAGCTTAATAAAATACTTGTTTTTGATCCCCTTGTAACAAATGAGGAAGTGATGGAATAGGGGCATTATATAAGTTAGATTAGGGCTCACAAGTAGAGACTCAGGACTGGAATTCTAGAATCTGTGCCTTAAATGACTGCAGGAGAGCCTCTCAATCCACTGTGCAAAGAAAGGCACTTCTGAGAATGGGTTATGGATGTAGAGTTGTTGGGACCCTCACACCCCAGCCACCTCCAGCTTTAGGGAGCTCTTATTTCCTCTGACCTAAGCACTTCTGAGTATGAGCAGTGTCAACCTGTGTCAACAGGGCATGTTATGAAGCTCTGCATTAGGGCTCTCGCCTCCTGTCTCTGCAGGTTCTTTAACTGTACCTCCACCCTACTTTGGCCAGGGTTTCAAACAGCAATTTGCAGATAGACTGCAGGGAGCCTTACCATTTCTGTCCCTTGGAGTCCCTGGTTCTTGAGAGTCTTGGCCCTGCAGTTGCCCGGAGCCCTCCTCGTCGAAACTCCGCCATTCCTGGTGCATCAGTGTTGAAATTTCCTGACTGGGTTCTTCGGATTCTGTGTGCAGAGGAATCCAGAAACTGTCAGGGGGGCAGCCGGAGAGCTCAGAGGCAGTGCATCCTTCCTTTGCAACAGGGCCAGACCCAGAACTCAGGAGATCAAAGATCATGGATCAAGGAACACAACCTGTGACAGTTCCTTGGCCAGCTCTCAGCCTCAATGCTAAGCTTCCTCTGGGGTTTTGTCTACTCCCTCTAGGGAACAAAGTGAAGGATGATGCGACATTGGAGGCTCATTTCAGACTGGGTCACTGTAGCCAGTAGTACCCAGCTGTCTTCAAAGCTTCCTCAAGATACAGACTAACCTCTAAGAAGGAAGAATCCAGTTTCACCTATGTCTTTTCCAAATAACCTGCAGAGGATATGACCAGATGTGTGGGATAGATGCCTAGAAGGGGTACATGTAAGGCAACAGGCTGTACTTAATGGTGTGTGTCAACATCCTTCTCTGGGCCCGGAAAAATAACTCAAATTCTTCTCTGAACATGACTGCTCTGTTTTTATTGTTGTTTTGATGTCTGATAAACCAGGGGCTTACACAGACTCTTTGCTAGGTCAAGAAGAAGTCTAACTGATATGATTATGATCACCAACTTACTTTCCCCAGAATTTTTTGATGCCTTTGGGGCTCCGTTTACCATCCGGTGTCAGGGGAGACTGGGGACTGGATTCAGTACCCGATGAGGTGGATGAGACGTCATTGGCCATGGTGGTATCTTCCCAACCACTTTCTGTGTCTCCTGAGGTTGAGAGAAGGAAATGGAACATAAAGAGTAAGAAGTATGTTGTGGATCCCACCTTCCACAGCAGTCCTGATGACCCGACCCACCTCTGCCTTTAGGGCAGAGCACCACATCAAAACCCCAGAGGGCCAGTGAGGTTCAGACACATCCCAAGCTCTCTTGTTAAGGAATTAGTAAGCTTAACATTTCAAATCTGGACAAGGTAATGTCTTTGAATTCTAAGTGGTCCAAGTACTTATGGATTATTCAATAAGGAGAGCTTGCCTTCTTCCCTCAGAGGCAGATGCAGGAGTTCAGGCAAGAGGGGGAGCATGGCTGAGAATTTGGGAAGGGAGGTGTTAGGGTAGGGGAACAGGGAAGGAAAGCATTCTCACTCCCCACCTCACCTGGAATGGGTACAGTACCTAATACGGGGGCACTGACACTTCGGCCATGATCTCCAGCCAATCAAGAAGCAGAGAAGCCACATGAAGAAACAAGAGAGGCCAAAGTCCAGCCCAAGAGAGTTACAGGGAAGCAAAGAAATAAACAAAAGAGTGTCATCAAACAAGAGAGAAAAACTCAAATAGAAAGGAAAATATTTCCAACAAAAGCGGTAAATAGAAACTAAGCCATGACCACAGTGTCAGAAAATTGAGAAAAGCCTCACTCAAGGGGTCAAATGCTTCTGGTGCTATTTCCTGGAAGACTGAGGTGTCCACACGTAGGATTGGGAGAGGGAACAACAGGGTCTGAACAGAGAGGGCCACGCACGGCTCTCATGTGCCTGGGCTCACTCAGACCAGAATGATCTGAAGCCACTGAACATCCAGGTAGGACTACTGGACACACATTTGAGGGCTTGTCTGGAGCTGCTGCCCCGAGCAGAACTGGCCTTCAGGAATGGATTCACAGGCTGGCTCCCAGAAGAGCAGGCAGAGGAGTCAAGGGTAACAAGAATGCTGCCAGGACTAGAGCATTCCCTCCTGGGCTGCTTTTAGGGAAAGATAATTTATCTTGATGGAATGGAGCTAAGACTGAATAGTTTCAGGTCCCACCCTCCAAAAGGATGCCTGTGGATTGATATCCTTGTCCCCCGGCTACTGCCTCCATTTGCCTAAGGAAGCGGTCTCACTTTGAAGAGCCTAGAATATTATCCTACTGGTAACAGAAAGTCTGCAAAGAAGTCAGAGACAGAAGAGGGAAAATCAGATGGCAGAGGAAGAATGGGGGATAGGAAAGGTGGAAGGGAAAAGAAATGGAACGAAGGAAAAACGGGTTGAGAGGAGAAAATGAGGTGAATAACTGCAGCTAGAAAAAAATAGGGTGCATACATAGCCTGTTTTGGGTTTTTCTGGTTGTTTGTTTGGTTTTGTCTTTTGCCATTCTGAAGTGCTGACCTGAAACAGCTTGCCTAGGCTATACTGTAGGATACGACCTTTAAAAGTGGTTCTACTTTAGGGTACAACTTGGTCCAGGACCTCCTGAGCCCTGCCATTCTCAAATGTGGGTGGCAGTGGTGGGTGCAAGTATCTGGTACAGTGACTGAAAGTGTCAAGGACAAGATACTCACTCAGCCTTAGCAGGTTGCTCCCTGAAGCGTCGGGCTGTGAGGTGGTGGGAGTAGATTTGGCAGCTTCTCCATTGGGTGTGGCTCCCGAAAGCTTCCCAGGTAATGTTGGATATTTCTGCTCCACCAGAAAAGGGCTGTCCTATTGGAAGGAGAGACGGAGAGAGGCTGGATAAACCCTTAAACTCAAACTCTCAAACTCAAAACTCCTCAGGAAATCCTTGGTTAAACAATTTCCAGTTCTCCCACAATCATTTTCCACTTATCTTAACTCTAAGACTGCAAGAAAACCATTCATCCCATGTCAGGAAAGGGAGACCTGACAGAGTGAGACAGGGAGAGAGTAAAGCCCCAGTGAAGGGCTGAGAGCAACTGCATCTGAGAAGGAAGTAGAAAAATAGAGGTGTCTTGCAAAAGGGGACCTTTGCCATATGGCCTTGTGTTCAGAGGCTCCCTGAATTAGCAGCCATGAATTACTCCTTTCCAGAAGGTGCTACCTAGTGCCTTATCTCATATATGTATGTTTGAATACACACACACACACACACACACACACACACATTCTCTGAAAGAGAGGAGAATGAGGTCAGTGTGGGCTGGGTTTCTCTGTTCTCTCAGACTTTCTTTAGTGGTTAGTAAAGAGGCACTCTCGCTAAGTAAGACCTTCACTCACATCAGACTAGGGAAGAACTCTGCAAGACCTTGGCCAAGTACACAAATTATGTGGATCTTTAATAAGATAAACCTACGCTATAAGAGGAGATTCAGAGTTTAAATTTGAAGCAATAAAAGAAAAAGTTTGAGCCAGGTGTGGTAATGCATGCCTATAATCCTAGCATTCTGGGAGGCTGAGGCAGGAGATTTTTGAGTTTAAGGCCAGCCTGGGCTACAGAAAAGATTAGTGGCCATCCTGGAACACAGAAAGACCCTGTTTCAATCAATCTATCAATCAATCAAGTCTGTTGTGATAATAGTTCTTTTGAAAAACATCACGTTAAGGAAAATCAAGAAGGCACACACACTTGGGAAAGATGACAACAGGATAGGGCTACATGCCAACACAGAATTCCCATAGGAACTGCATGAAATACAGCTTCAGAGCAACTGGCTCTGTGCTTGGAACCTGGCCATATAGAGTACCAAAGAAACAAGTTGATTAAACAAGAAAGAAGAATAGAGTTTATTTGGTTGAAAAGGATATAATGACCCACCTGTCTGCAAATCTGAGGGAAACAAAGTGAAATGTATTATGAAAGCCAGAGGAAAAAAAGGAGAAAGTGAAGTAATATCACTGAGGGAATCAACTGTGGATCATTTGATTGGGCCCAGAAGAAAAGTAACATGAAATATGAAACAGATTTTGAGACTGGCAAATCAGAACAATAACGAGAGACTGTGGTGATGGGGGCATCTTTTGAAGTTTCATTTAACTAAGTCAAGCGATCAGTACATTTCCAAGTTCACTTTGCTTACAATCACATGGCCTGGAAATTGTCCAAAATTCAGTTCATTTACTAAACACTGACAGTAACCCACTCAAAATAGATTCAGAAGGAGGAGATTCAGGGAGAGAAACTAAATGCTTTAAGAATTCCCGAAAAACTGGCCAGTGAGTAGAAGTAATTAGAACCCTGGGAGATGAAGACTAAGATTTTCACGCTTGTGATGACCTGGAAGATAGAGCATGGACGTGAGCAGACACGTAGGCAAGCTCAGCAGTTCCCAGTGCTGCCTCAGATGGTGGCTGCTTCACACTCACCTGGAACACTGCAAAGACAACACGCAGTCCCCACTGCCTCTCCAGCCCGGTGAATCAGCCACTCTGGAGCACACCCCAAGAGTCTGGACTTTTAACTAGCGTCTGAGATTATTCTGATACACAGTCAGCCCCAGGAAACAGTGACCGTGGGAAGAGTGTTCGACAAGTGTAGAGAACTGCAGGGAATGACTCCAGTTTCATATGCAATGGCTCCATGAAATATGCAATGGCAAAGGGCTCTCCAAACAGGTTTTTGGCTGTGTCATCACAAACACCCCCAGAACAGACAGAGACAGCCCAATGCTTTTCTCTTCAACTTCTCAGCACCTCCATTTTGTAGTTTCTAAACAGTAGTGAATAACAATTCCTGCCTCCAAGCATACTAAGTGATGCGATACTAAGTGCAGGGACTAGCACACAGTGGACAGCAGATAAACAGAAGCAGAGAATGTCAAATGTTGAGTTCTACAGTGACAGCAATCCACAATAGCAGCCCCTAGATAAAGGAAGGTTTGGGTTAGATGACATCTAGAAATCACACCCAAGTGTGGCCCTGGGCACAGTTTAAAGAATCCTTTGAGAAACTTGTGCTTTGCAGGCTGCTGAACCAGGCACATGTGCAGATGTTCAGCCCGGAGAACAGACTACTTAGAGAGAGCTGCAGGAACTTAATTGTAGAACTATCAGAAGTAGGGAAGACTGACTCATAGCCCAGAGAGCCAGATCAGGAGGTAGAGCTTGGGAGAAGTTCAGAAGACACGTCTAACATTCAGAGCTGGAAAAATCACACAAGGAGGTCTTACCTTGTAACAAGTTTAGTCACAGAATGCAAGGGGCCAGCTGAAGCAAGGCCACAGTTAGAGGACGCTGATGCAGAAAGTTTATTGCACCTGTGAACTGCGCTGGGGAATCGGTGTGTGTGTGTGTGTGTGTGTGTGTGTGTGTGTGTGGTTAAAGATGTGGACACATTTAACTGAGTTGCACAAGGTTATTGATTATGGTCAAAGCTATATCTAAATATAGAATCAAATTTTTCATCTGGAGGATTTATATTCTTTCTTTGTTAAGAAATCTCACATCATTCATATTTCTTGGTAATTAAGTTTGAGCCCATGAACTAGCTGTGTTTGCAAAGGAACAGACATGCTCACATGTGTACTTAGAAACATCTACGAACAGCCTCTGTGAGGCTGAGGTGGTAAGATGTCACAGAGCAGTGTCCATACCAAGGCTTTTGCTGAGGGGCCACAGTGACCCCAGGATCAAGTGACTATGTATCCAAAGCACAGGGATGCGGGGGGCAGGCAGAAGATTTTTGCTCTACAGGTCAGATGGCCCAAGGACTAGATGCCTAATTTTAGCAGCAGGTGCTACAAATGTGAAAGTGCAAAGAAGCCCCATGGCTACAGACAGAGGTCTTACACAGTTTGAAGGGCAGAGATTCCCCATTCTGTCACATTGGTGCAAATATATAAAAACAACCTTCTCAGGCCAAAGCCCACACGGAGAAAAAGGAGACAGAGAAGGGCCATACCCAACACATTCTTCCATATGATGGTACAAGTGGTTCTCGGGTGTGGCTGAAATCATGCTAATTATGCAAAGTTTCAGTTCATTATGGGCTTAACATTTGTTCACTGATCTGGAAATTTAATCATCTTCCACAACAGGCTTCCTGGGAGAAAATCAGTTGTAGTGGAATTTTTATAACACGACTTGTTCATTAAAGGGGCACTCATTGTCCTCCTGTGTTTGTTAACTGACAGCATAGAAAGCATGAGAGCTGTCATGCTCTACTGGGTGCTAAGATCACTCTAGCTTCCTTTTCAGCAATTAAATCTAGATTGCATTATTTAAAGACTAATTTCTCCAAGTCTATAACATGGAGGTGATACTAATAAATCCTATCCCACAAGTAATGATAGTAAAAGCACATTATACATGAGTGCACATAAAGATATAATGGGAGGGCCAGGCGTGGTTGCGCATGCCTGTAATTCCAGCACTCGGGAGGCTGAGGCAGGAGGATCGCTGTGAGTTCCAGACCAGCCTGGGCTAAATAGTGAGTTCCAGGTCAGTCTCAACTACATAGTGAGACCCTGTCTCAAAAAACAAAAACAAACAAACAAACAAAAGATAAAATGGGGAGGAAGAATTTTCTTATTGCCTTCTTACCCTTTATGGTTAACATATTTTATGGCACCAGAGCTATAACTTGCTAAAAAACTAGCAAACAGTACCACCACAGATAGGTGATAGAGATGTGAAGTTAACATACCTTGGGTTCTGCCACAGGAGAGAGCTGGCTCCCATTGACACACTAGGAAGTGACAAGGATTTTGATTGTGTGGAAAAAAAGAGACTGATGTTAATCACAAACAAAAATCTCAGGATTAACAATCTGCTTACATCTGAAAAGGACACACGCACACACACACACACACACACACACACACACACACACACACACCCCTTTGCCTTGGGTATCACCATTCATGGCAACAAACACAGGTCCCTGGTTCAACACTGTAGACAGACATCTTGGATGGCTGCTAACAATCTGATCAGGATAGCAAGAAGCACACAGCCAAGGGAGCCAAGCCCATGGCTCCCGCTAACTTCAGCATTTATGAACCCAGGGAGGTGGGCACACTGCTGGAGTCCAGGAAATAAATACAGCATAGCTTGCTGAAGGCTCTATCAGGACAGGGCTCCTTGTTCTCTCCTAGCTAAGTCCAAGAACCCATGATCATTGTCCAGCAGAGGATCCACCCACATAGTCAAGGGATGTCCTCAAGTAAGGGGCCACAAAGCCCTCCTCATATCTTTTCTAGATATTTTTTAAAGCTGCCTCTCAGTCTTCTAAATTACTCCATATCAGACTTTGGGGGTCATCTTTACTCACATTACTTCTTCATTCAGAATTTCTGCAATGATGCCTAGTGTGCTAGGAAGACAGGGCCAATAGTCAAGGATCTTCTGTGGTTTGACCTGACGCATGGCTCTGACTTTACCTTCTCTTGCTCCCCACTGTTTTCCCAAACCTGCCACTATCCACCAGACTTTAACAAGTCTTGTGCGCACCACAACCACACTCTTATCACCACCAGCCAGCATTTTCTGAGGGTCCTGTCTCAAGACTGACTTGAGCCAAACTGTTTTTCTAAATATGTTCATGTAATTCTGCCTTCCCAGCAACTGTACAGGTTCCTCTCCAAGTTAAGGACCAGGATTCATCTGCATACCCTAGCACTGAGATGGGCCCAGAGAAGTAACTCAGTAATCTTTATGGGTAGACTATGACTGACCTTATCCACAGATTCACTTCTCAAGTCTTCTAGACTACAGGAGAGTTTTTTCTGAGCCCTAGACAAACACAAAGCAAAGAAATAGTTACTAGAGAAGCAGGTACATGGTATCAACATGCAGGGGACAATCTATGTGCTTAATCAGTGGTCTGACTTGGGCATAGAGTTAAAAAAAAAATCAAACCTTTCATAGTAGCCAATATATAAAACAGACTGGCCCACCTCAGGAAGTAGCCTGGTCCAACATTATGTCGGTAAGGGCTTTAGATCCCAATGAAAAGTCTGAGGCATTGTTCAAAAAGCTGGAGTACACTTAATTTTGTTTAACTGATAGAAAGTGACTGCCATGTGCTCACACAGCAGAGTCAATGGACAGGAAAAGCAACGATGCTGGCTTGTCTGTGAAGTTAAGATTGATCGAGGAGAAAGGAGTCAGTGCCCCTTCGGAGTGGAGACACAAATATCAGCCAGGCCACTGGCTGCCCACAGACCTCATGAGTAACTTGACTGTTTTGCTGATAATTTAGACAAATTTTTTTCAGACCCATGATTCTTTCCCCTCGAATCCAATGTTGTGATCGCTTTAAAAATATATGTGTAAAATGAGAATAATCAAATCTGTGTGTCAGCCTTTACATGCCTTTTTAGACTCTGTCTTGTACTTAGTAACATACTCAGGTGTCCTTTTAGCCAAGCACACATCACCACAACCTTTCATCTAGTTTTCTGTTTGCCTCTGTACGTCTGGTTCTCAGGGAATGAAAGACTCCACTGGTGTCCATGTGCGTAACTCAGCACACAGATGTGTTACTGCTACTAAAACAAATACGGTGCTGCCAGTGGGCCTTGAGCATTCGGGTGTGGTGGCTAATTCTTGCCCCGTCATAGCAAAGCTGTGGAAGTCTGCAGAGTGGGCCTTCTAGCACTTGGGATATGTACAGCCTGTATCCTGCAGCATATTGTTTCAAATGTGCATATATTTCATGTTTGACACTTTCTACTTACTGACCAACAGAGGGTCCTACTTGATTTTTAACAAAATAAATACCATGTCTTCAAATCAAGAGCATCACTGCTTAGATCCTCTAGCTCAGCTCTGGCTCTTCACAAACTGAGCAGTCTTCTCAGAAGAATTTTGTTTTCACAGGGCCTATTTTGCAGATACAGAACCAAAAGGGAGAGAAGAGGCAGTGCCATCTGTGCTCCCAAGGATAACCTGGTGCTAAGTCTCCTTGGAAGTCATATTCCTTCATTATTAGTCTTTTGTGAGTCTGTTCAGTATGAGCTCCTCATTGTTAATTTCCAAAATGAATTATAAACTAAATTTATTTTTCTGAAAAGTTAGGCCTGGCCAATCATCCTCTCAGATACTGCCATTCTCCTGTGGGGTTAAAACCCTGGGAGGACAACTGTTGTCCAGAAATTGGGCTCTGACAGTATAGATTCTACAGCTGAAGAGTCAGCACTATTTTGGGGAAGTTTCTGTCATGCTGTAGCCGTCTTCCCCAGGCACCTTGGCTCTAGTCTGTTCATGGTGGTGACATCTCCATTGTCCCCCTCACATGGAACTAAACTTGGAAACACACTGTAAGGAGTAGGGATAACAATCTAGAAATGGGTTAATTTTAGAGGAACTATCCAGGTAGTAGTCAATGGCCCTATAGACCAACCCATTATAAGGGCACTGTTACCAAAGCAAATGGACTAGCAATTGGACCAGGGAGAAGACATGGCCCTCCCTACAAAGCCTGAGTGTTCAAAGGACTCAGTCCATCCCAAGATCATTTCAAAGGGGCACATGAAAGTGACAGACACACATCATCTCAACAGCAAGAAGCCACTGGAAGGCACGGAGGAGTTGTGGCCACTTTCTCTCTGAGGTTCAGACCCCAGCCAAGTCTTTTATCAGTGACAATGACCTGGACCTCAGCCTGTGAGAAGACAGCCTCTCTGTGGCCAGGAGAGGTAGGCCTGGTTGGTGATACCCTGACAATGGAAGGTTGGGTATGCCCAGGGCATGGTGACTATTCTCTGCACACGGGCCATTTTCCATCCACTTTAGGAACTCCAAGGGGGACCAGTGAGCACAGAGGCTCTAGGCAAAATGTTCAAGTCTCCTACCTGGTTTCCAGTGATTTCTGTGGCAGAGGAGGAGGCGCCACCTTGGGAGAGCTGCATTTGGGAGGCATCTGCATCGAAAAAAGAAGGGACACCAGACAGGAAAGTTACTATTTAGGGACAATCCCTTCCTCTTCTTTGGATGATTCCTTTGGGGAACTGTATTTTCACTCCTGGGTATAGTCAAGGTGAATACATCAAAATGGACAGCTTGCTCTTTGAAGATGCCATAATCGGTAGGCATAATAATAACTTGCCTTTCCTTCCTAATCCCCAAGGCTTAGATAATGTTCTTATTGTAGCAGTAAAATCCCGAAACCCGCATCCCTAGGCTTTTGCCACTCCTGCCCTTTCTGAGCTTGGCTCTCCAGGCTCAACACATCCTTTCAAAAGCATTCCCTTTTGACTTAGGTTAACCAGTCAAATTCTGTGGCTGGCAAGGGAGAACACTAATGGGAGTCACTCGAGAAACATCAGCAATGTCTATTGCCTGCCATCCCTATGCTGGGCGAGGGGCAAGCACACCCCTCAGCTGGGAGGCAGACCATTATGCAAGGATGAAAGATGCCACCTGTCCTTTCGGCACTGATAGGCACTGATACTTATAGTACGTATGGGAACAGAAGGGATGGTGGGGCTCCCTCTGGCTGGGGGAATTGTCAAGAAGGCCTCAAGAGGGGAGGATATGTGAACTGTGTCTTAAGGAGTGATAATGAGCTCACCATGAAGGCAGAAAGGAAAGAGTACCTCAGGGGCATGAGTATGAGCTAACAGGGGTATCTCTGGTACTGCACTGACTGCAAAGACAGCCTCTTTTCCCCACAGCTTTTTATTTACTAAGGCAAGAGCCCCAGCATCATAGCACCGCTGGGTTTTGAGGTCAGGTAGATATAGGTTAGAGTTCAGGTTCTGCCATCTGCTTGCAGTGTGACCTGGAGTACATTTGGATGCTTTAATGCTCAGCCTCACCACAGTACACTAAGGATTCAGTGAGGTGCTATGGGGAGTAAACAGCTGAGCTGCATAGAGTACGAATCACAGTGACCACACAGAGGTACTGAGCAAGCCCTGGTTCCTGCTGTTTCGTTACTGTCAGAAATGTAGGGTGCTTCTTCTGACTCAGTAACAAACTCACTGTGATCTTAATTAAAAGGATTTAGTTGGACTCTAAAATCCTTTTCTGAAGTCTTTCTTCCACCTGTGTTCATGTGTTTGTTCATTTATATTTAGTCTAAGCACAGAAAGATTCATATGATAGGACCAGATTTTAAATCAAAGAGAAGGGAAATCTGGGTGCTGACTGTGGGGTCGAAGAGATAGCTGTGAAACAGGAATGTATCACTTCAGAAGGTGAAGCTATCTCTCAACACACATTTGCTGAATTCCCTTCATCAGACATTGCAGATCCTGGAGAAATAGTGGCAAACAAAATAAATACATCTTTGGCCTACATTTACATTCCAGAGCGGAAAGACAAAAGTAAACAAGGGAAAGTCCTACCCTTGAGTGTTCTAGGGCTTTACCAAGCTGCTGCCAACCAGAACACAGGCCTGAGCCTCAGCCTCTGCTCCCCTCCACTCTCTCCCTCAAACCCGAGGGCTGTTCCATGCATATAATTACTCACAGTGAATACGTGTACTAGACAGGTGCCTGGCTAGATCTTCCTCTAGGCTAAGAGCATGCTCTGGGGAGGTGCTGTAACCCCACCCTGTGGATGGAAATGCAGTACCTCTTGTTTTAATAATTCTTCAGGGCCTTTATTTGCAGTGTTCCACTTTCTGAAACTTCCCTCCAGTTGTTCTTCATTGACTGAGAGAGTTCTCTCAGAAGGCCCTAGAAGCATTAATGCAGAAGTAGTACATCGTTACTGTTACGGTTTAGACCTAGGAGGCCCTGAAAAACCCTCAGAGGTGTTCAGTGGCAGGCTTTTGGGTCATGGGGTGCTACAATCAACAATGGCTTCATCAAATGATTCTTTCACAGCTTACTTGCTGTGAGGAAATGGGGCTTGGCAGGTCACTAGGGGCGTGAACTGGGAGGGTTTATCTTCCCTCCCCAACTCCTCCCTTTGCTCTCTGCTCCCTGGCTATCATAAAGTGAGCAGCTTTCCCCTGCCAGTCCCACCACAATACTATTTCTGCCTTGGGGCTGACTGACCATGGAATGAACCCACTCAAAGTGTGAGCCAAAACAAACCTCTCCTCCTTTAAGCTGTGGGTGTCTGGTATTGTGTCCCAGCAATGGAAAAGGAATTAAGACAGTTGCTGTGTTTGGTCAGAAACTTTTAATTGTACCACAGAACCCTCACTTCATTTATCCTTCATGGATATAGAAAGAACAAGCAAGAATGTGATCTGAAAAATTCTTAAGGCACTTGCACAAGCAAGGGCTGTCATGAGGGTCGTTTCAAGATCAAAGTTGATCCCTGAAAAAGAGAAGTAAGGCACCCCTTGCCTTCAACTTACCTATTTCTTGGCCATGGGCCATCAGACTTTGAAAATGCCTTTCCCAAGATCATAAAGGAGAAGAGAAAAAAGGGCTGCAACATTTGTGTGAGGTTCTGATAGATACCCAGGGTAGTGAGGACCCTTCTTAAGAAGAGGTAACAGCTTAGAATCAGAGGTTCCAAAGGATGCTGAAAAATATTTCTTGAGAAACAGCTCCTTCTGCAGGTAACCAGAATCCAGATCAGTGGCATAAGTGACAGGGCAGGCAGCCCGGCAATATACCACTGTGCCCAAAAGAACACAGAAGCTGCCTGCATGTATCAGTCTGGTCATCAAATGTGAAACCAACAGCTTTTCCTGATTAAAAAGGTGAAGTCCTACCCTTGAAGTTCCAGGGTCCCAACCAGAGCACAGGCCCAAGCCTCAGCCTCTGTTCCCCTCCACTCTCTCCCTCAAGCCCAAGCGCCGTTCTATGGATAAAATTACTGACAGTGAACATGTGTCCTGTCCTCTCGCTATCCTGTGACTTCCTTGGCAACCTGGGTACCAGGTAACCCAGGAAAGGCTCTCAGGTGCCCTGTGAATCTTCCAGAAGCTCTAAATTTCTAAGAGGTGAATGAGCTCTAATCTCCTACAAGGGCACGGATTGATTTCTGATCCAGGTTTGACTCTCCTTTCTGTCTCTAAGGAGTATCCTGGGAAGATGCGTAGGGTGGGAATTCTCAAGGGGAAAAATTGAAGGCTTTATTTTCTTGGTGATCTGGATAGTCCCTAGAAATGCTGTGCTGACTACCACTTGACAGAATTTCTAGATGTCAATAACTGCCAATTTCCCACGTTGGAGGACAGTCTAAGTGATCCATTTTTTTCACTAGATCTTTGCCAAATAGGGTAAAGAATCTGACAGAACTGTTCTGGGACTTAATAAAGAAAACAGTATTTTTCAGGGAAGATGGTGTACTGGCCCTTCCTTACCTTGAGCTGCCATCACAATCTCCTTCACCCTTAGGTACTGGTTCAACAGCCCCGTGAGCTCCTCTATCCGACGGTCCTGCCATGGTACGAGAGCAGGTTTAAATTTACGTTATGTCTGGTACCTCAGCTGATTACTTTTGGGGGCCCATCTATATCCTGGGCACACTGAAAAGAAATTCCAGGTGAAAATGCTGGAGTATCCCAAAGGGAAAGAGAAAGTGGGCCCATCCTATTGAGCTGGGGCCCTCACGTCTGCCAGAGGCAGCTGCAGCCATGACTACCTGAAGATCATGGTCAGCAATCACTGACACACTCTTCAAGGGGCTTTCACATTCTCAGAGCATGAAGTAGCCATGATAAAGTCTGTCCCCTCTATAGCTAAACAAGATAAGACAAAAACAACCTTGTTCTATTTATCCTAATAGCCTCATCTATTCATTATGAATCTTAGAAACACTGAAAACAACCAAAGAAATTCCCAGAGGGGATCAGTTCTTTCAAGGAGAGCATCTAGGGACTTAGGAGGCCTGGACTTAGATATACTTGGGCATGAACTCTGGCCCCGCTATCCATCAGTTACCTGACTCTGGCAAAAGTTAAGTAAAAGTGGAGTCTGCTTCCTCATCTGTAAAATGCAGCATTAGGATTCTCAGAGCTATGTGTGTAGTAGCCAAGTGCTTTGCACTTATCTGTGGTCATTTTACGATTATGCAGGAATTAGATGTGAAGAATGTAAGGTGACAGGGTAGACTGAGGCACCACAGGCTGCCAAGCGCTTGTATGATGGTTCTGTCGTAGAAATGGATTGTGTGGGTGGGAGATTCGTTGACTGCTCCTGAGTTTTGCTAGGAATCCGAGCAGGACTATAATACTGACCGTAACCACAATGGTAGTTTTTCCCCATGCCAGCAGCAACAGGCAGAGCTCTAATTTGCCTTTTGGAGATTCCACTTAGGCAGGGTTCCCAAGCATTAAAGTAAAAAACCAGTGCTGACTCTGAGTCTCTAGAAGGCAGGAGCTGCTCTCTTGACCCCTCCCTGTATCACTGGCCCGACAGGGATGCCGCTGTCCAGAACAGCAGACAAGCAGTGCCCAGGCAGAGATGTTAAGAGGGAAAGGACAGGATTATTTAATTATCATCTTACTTTGTCTTCATTGGCAACAAGCAATGTTTCCATGCCCATTTTCAGACGATGAATTTCTTGGTCTAAAATAATTGAGGCAGAGAAAGAATTATTCAGGTAAATGCTAACAGCTACTGATATACGCTAAGATTCTCCACAAGTTCAAACTTGAAGACTTTCCGTGTGCACATGGCTCCTTTGTTTCTTTAAAGAACCTAGGATGGTAACTGGGCAGTGTCTGTCTCCTAATATTTTTTTGGACAACTAAGTGAATGAATCTAATTTTCACTTTATAGACATTTATGGGCAAAATAAAAATGCCATTTCCTAAAAAGTGGCATAGAGGAGCCAAAAAGCCCTTACAGTCAACATTTGCTAAGAACACAGACATTGTTGCTCTATGTCAGCATATCCCTAGGCTGCTGGATGCTTTTGGGGAAAATCATATAGTCTAAAAGACTATAAACAGAGGAGAATTTAAAATAAGAGAAAGAAAAAAGTTTATGGCTGAATGGATTAATTATTTTGTAAAGAAATTTTCATAATTGGCTTAATTTAAGATGCTAGAGTCATTATTAAAAAATCTATAGAGGGGCTGGGGATTTAGCTCTGAGGTTCTGCAGCCTGGTTGGCAAGCACAAGGACCGGAGTTTGATCCCAGTACAAAAAAAAAAAAACAAAAAAACAAAAAAACAAAACCTTTAGATGTACCAATAAATTTATCAAAACAAACACTATGGTTAAAGGGAAACTCTTATTTCACCATAAGCCTACAGAATTTCCTTATGGGCTAAGAGTTTGGTGGTGTTAGAAAACCTGTGGTTTTTTTTTTTTTCTTACTTTAGACCCAACTGGGACTCACTTGACTTTTCCCAAACTTGTCTGAAGAATAAAGTGAAAAGCCAATATTTGAAAAAATTGGAGATACTTTGCGAGACATTTAATGATGCAGGAACAGGCATATACCTCAATTTTCCAAGGAAGGACTCATAACTATTCCTAAACTGGGTACTGCCAAGGGAATAGGAACGTCTGTATAAGTACAGAAGATAAGGAAACAAAGGTACAGGCATCCTATTTCCCTTGAGATGCTTGTTATATTCAATAAAAACAGAACAGTAAATGTATGGACTTTGTATGACTAGTTATGAGGATTTAGTCTCATAGTAAAGTAGAAAGCACCTTGCTTATTTTTTTAAACTCCTAACAGTTGATATCAGCTTGGCAGCTCAGTTTGTGTAGGGAGAGGGGTACAAGAAGGTAAATTCTAAAGATTCTAGATAAAGACAAACCTGGACTCATTGGTCAGAACCCAGTTGGGCAGCAAATGACCAAAAGACCAGTTCCAAAAGGTACATGACAATGGGACTGGGGCAGACCTGGAAGGCATGGATGGTGGGGAAACATGCAGTAGAGGGCGTGGCTGTCTGGGCCGGATGTTATGGTACCAGGTTTGGCACACAAGATGGTTCAGAATATCCCAGTCTTCATAAGTTGGCCTTGGCAGGTAGGTGGTGCACCCACTGGCCTGAGAGGACACTGATGAAAGGCTGGGGGAAGAAGGAGCATGCTAGTCTCTCCTTTAGTTTTTTAAGCCTAAGCCATTGTTTCAGGAGTGCATGGTCTTCCCACCCCAGCTCGGAACGACGCTAAGCTGTACTGAGGCTGAGCTGAGACTGGACAGTGGCAACAACGCACAGGGCTGTATGATCTCTGTGGTCACCAGCAGCCGGTGGGCAAGGCAAGAGGTTGGAAGGTGTGTGATCATTCTGCATACATGACACACAGCCATAAATATAAAATGCTTGTTAAGAAGAATATTTATATTTGAAGATTTAGCCTCTATTTGCAGCCTACAAGTCTTGAGCTCCTTAAGGATCACTCATTATCCTTTAACTTATTCAATGACTATTTCATAGGAGGCTACCATGGGCTGTATATGGAGCTGGGCTCTTACACAAATCTGCTCCAGTGTGGGAATGCCCCAAGACCTCTCAAAATACAACACTGTTAAGTTATAAGAAGTGATAGGAAAGATGCTGAGTTAGCGATAACAGGACTAAGGGGATCTACGTGAGGTAGGGCAGCCGGAAAGGCCTTTTTGAGAAATGACCTTTAAGTTGAGAGCTAAAGGGTGAGAAAGAAATGATCGGCATCTGTAACTTCAGGGCCTTGCACAAATGCCAGGAAGGATAAATTGCTAAGCTTCCTCTCTGGTGATAACCTAGAAACAAGGCTTTTCAATCATTGAGAGTCAGGTATTTCCTACATTCTGGGTAAGAGCTCCTCTGGGAGGAGGTGTCAATAACATAAAGCTTCGATTAACACGTAGCATTCAGAGCTGAGTGTTCTGGATAAGGGAGAAGTCCATGGCATGATTCCACACAATAAAGCATGCACATATGCGTCCATTTACTTGGACATGCTCACACACATAATGCGTGTACACACATTAGTATACCTCCATGCACATGCACACATGTGAACCCAGGGCCCAGGGCCCAGGACAACTGCTTTCTGTCACAGTCACCCCAGTCACCTCTGTCTGTGTGGTCACTGTGGAGAGCTGCAGTCCGAGAGAGCTGGCTGTGCAGACGCTCGATCTCTGCATCTTTCAGGGCCACCTGCTCTTGTAGCTGGGCTACTTCAGCCTGAAAAAGCAACAGAGAACCCCTACCACGTTAAAGGGACCACACCAAACCATGATAAAATGTCTGCAGTCCACTGGACCCTAAGACACATGAGGAGTTAGGGGCAGTGGTAAGAGAAGTTAGAGGGGCTCATTGCCCTCTCCACAGGACGGAACTTTACTGAAGGAATTTACTCTTCCTGGCCATGAACCTTCTCCTTCCCCTGCATCCTCCTAACTCATCAGGTCTTTCCCTCCCTGCTCTGTGAGGCCCAGGTACCACTGAGACCCAAGGAGCTGGGAATGTGTGTAATGGGAGGTGACTGCTGTGTCCTTGGTGCAGAGGTGACTACTGTTGTTTTGCATGTGGTTTTCCTTCTCTCAAGATACTCATGCTGCATCACTTAAGATACTCTGCTGTAACAAATGCATGCAGCTTCATCTTTTCACCCCACACAGGAAACAAAATGGAAATCAAGTCAGTACGGTGGATAGGGTGAGTCTGGGCTCCTTCTACTCAACCTCAAGGCATGTGCAAATTTGCCCACATCTACACAAACACAATATAGGTGTGCTTAGCACATACACTTTTGCAATGAAATGTGCACATACCACATAATATAACACTACACAGTGCACAGAGACTCGTTTAAAGTACACATGGGCAGCTGCCCTTGGTGGTTCCCATGTCTTCACTAAGCAGAGCAAGTTAAACTTCATGGACTGTGGTATGTATTGTGTCCATGCTTTCTCATATTCATTACAAGATCAAAATTATGCCAAACCCATCCCAAGTGGCAACTTCACTTTGGAGTAAAAAAAATCTGGATTTTTCCATGTGCTTGTTTGGATGACCTTGACAAGCAAGTGAACCTTTCTGAGTCTTAGCTCATCTATAAAATTGAAACTTAGTACCTACTGCATGGACTGTAGTAAGGATTAAGTAATGTAATCATTATGAGCAATTTAGTCTGATACTTAGTATATGTTAAATGCTCAATACATGCTATTACTATCGCTTTTCTCTCCTATTCCTTCCCTTGTGAAGAATCCATTTGAGTCTTCAAGCATCAAACAAATAAGAGATTAGAACTGACTCCCAAACAATGGAACACACAGAAAATGCTTGGTCACCCTTCCTCATATGGTAGCCTCTAATCAGTACCATTTCTGGTCCTTAGAGTATAGATGTCCTTTCCTACAGAGGCCCAAGTTATCTTTGAACAACTTCACGTAACCAAAGAACACTGGTCCTGTTGGTCCTCCTCTGCCTGACAGGCCTTGCTTTTGGATTCAGCACACTGATGCAAGGATCCACCTTGCATCAAGCCCATGCTCACTGCTTTCTTTTATCAAATCTTACTAAATCCTCCAGGGTGCGGGGAGAAACCATGGGAAGAAATACCCCTGTAAGTTCCTGGGAAGAAACTGAAGCGGCACAAGTTTCAGTATCAAAATCAGACCTATTTTGGGCCGGGGATTTAGCTCAGTGGTTCAGTGGCCTGCCTTGCAAGTGCAAGGATCCGAGTTCAATCCCCGGTACCAAAAAAAAAAAAAAAAAAAAAAAA